TTCCGTTCAAAACGGAAGCCAAAAAGCAATTTTCTCTTCGCTGCTATTTACATTCTGTTGCAAGTCAACACATTTTTCCTCGTTCGATGTTTCCTTGAAAGAGATCCTATAACTTACCCGTTTGCTAAATAAGTGGCATACACAGATTAAAGACTTGTGAGCAAATACGTTTAAAGTTAAGTAATGTTGAAAGTAAGCTCAGATCGCAACCTTACGAGTTATTAAAAACATTTTTTAATTTATCTTTCATCTGTACGGTAAAATTAAATATTGATTTCTAGACTACATTCTTTAGGAGACCGGGGAAATTTCCGTGTAAGTTTCAACCAACTTGCGGTTTTGAATTGATCAACTACCAACATTCCTAACATTTCTCCTGTAAGTGTTTGAATATTTTGGCAACATGCGCTAGATTGATTGCTTATTCACTATTATAATATTCCCTGGCGACAAAGTTATTAAAAAACCTTTCATATTTCATGCCGCAAAAGTGTCCGCAATTAATCTGCCAGAATACAGACCAAAAACACAGCAACTTTCGGACAAAGTGTTCTTTAACACGTACATTACAAAGGCCAAACCGCATTGTTCGTTACAAAAATAATCAGTTTAAAAGTATCTTTTTGCCATTCGCGATTGTTTTCTATCCCAGAGAAAACCCTTTGAGAGCTTTCCGGCCCTCGTTAATGGAAACAGGAAGTAATGGGCCGAGAGAATAATTTAGATTTTTTATCTGCTAAGAATCCAATTGTTAACAAACATATTTCATTGTTCAAAGACTTTCCTGGTTTGGCTCGCGAATCTATAAGAAGATGCAAAAGATTTGTTAAGAAATTCAATTAAGTTTTTTATTGAAAAATCGAAAGGTGGCATTAAGTTAGAAAAAGAGTACACTAAATATACCTAAGTCAGATGACTACTTATAAATTAATTTATTAAAAGTATTTGAGCCAACACATTAAAATAAAGTAATGCTTCATGCTGCTAGAAGCTAAATGTATTATTGAAATCCACTAGAAAAAAACGACAGAAAAAGTTGCTCTCGAGGTCGCCGTGAAAACAGAAATTGCTCAAAAATGGTAAAAACATGTGCCTTTATTCTACTGAAACCATAATAAATAAGGACACATTCTGGTGAAAATTGGATTTTCAATGAGACAAAATGTTTCCAACAAGTCGCACCCCTTACACAAGTTAAAAATAGTGAAACAAAACGCACAGTTAATTAACAGGAAACAACAAGAGTTATGAAAAAGCCATAGAAGCCCATTAATAAGGGAACAAATGCAAGGTATCTAGTATATAGTGACAGGTGCGGCCCTTTACTCTATCGAACTAATCCAGCTAACGACTCATCGTATGGTTTTTGCCGGGGATAATTTGTGCTTTTCCGTGCTTTCCGGAGAAAAATAATTTGCAATTAGTTGGCGCATGTTAAAATATTGGCTCGACGGAAACAATGCCCGATGACAATTTTAGTATTGCTGATTAAAGCAACAGGTAAGTAAAACTTTTATGTATGATGCGACCGAATTCTGGCAATTTTGCTTAGATTGTAAGTCACATATTTGCTTGCTTTTGAAACTCATTAATTTCAGTAATATTTAACACTTGCCAATTTTTATTGTGATGATAGAGTGTATAATTTAAAAATCTTTAAAATTCAATGTCAATTTTAATTTCACTAATTTAAACGCCAACAAATAACCAAACATACACTTATGAAAATTAATAAAAATAGCAGATCTATTTTAATTATTTAATATATTTCTTTGCTGCATGTTTTTTTGTTTGTCTTGTCTCATGGCATTTTGTGCTTTCAATTGCATAAATATGCAACTTAGTTCAAAGTTTACGTAGAATCCTCAAATCAGATTTTAAAATGTTAAAAAAAAACAACTGTTTGGTTGATTTACATTTATCAGCACTAAAACTAGTTGAAACCTTCTCAAACATGTTCCTATGCATGAGTTATATGGGCAAACAGTAACAAAAGTGCTTAACTTTCCAAAAGTTTAAAGTTCTAAAGCGCTACTCTTCACTTACGACCATTTTCAATTTTTTATTGACACATTTTTTAACTAAGAACTAAAGTTAATTTATATTAATTTTGATTTGTACAATGGCAAAATACTTCAAAAATATTTTTTCTAAACTGATTATTTATATTCATTAATATGCGATGACTCAGTTTTTTTTAGAAATTGTAAGTTTTGCGGATTATTTTTTAGAATAATACTAAAAGAGAAAATAATTGCTCATAAGAAGAAGATAAATTACAGTTATTTTGCTAGGGTAGTTGATTTTTATTTATTCCTGAGGCTTTCTGTAGGTTATATATTTTACCTCTATTTTATTGTTTTATTTTACCTCTGTTTTATTATTTTATTCGAAATTATTGTTCCTACCGTGTGTAATTTAAAAAGTAACTACTACTTTTGTCGATGTGGGATTTAATTTTACTAGTCATAATTACTGCGTATTTTAGTCTAGACAATTATTTGTTTCCTAAATCCTTACTAATTATCATTTTTGAGTCAAACACTCCAGCTTCTTCTCCCAAATCCAGCTGTACACTTTTCATTCATTTTGGGTATTTTTATGAACAGTGCCTGTTTAGATAATCTGTGCCTTTAAAACTTCTCAGGTTGTTTTACAAAGCTTGTTAGCAACATAGGCAAACTTTTAATTGCGTTTTGTCTTCTCTATCTAGCTTCTCATTACCAGTCGGAATGGCGCTGCGAACATAATTTGCGCTGGGCTAATAAGCATGATTATTTATAGAAAAAGTAGAACTTGGGTGAATAAACAAAAATTCGTGGAACAGCAAGCCATTCAATATTTGTATTAGTTAACGAAAACGGAAATTTATTCAAAGACGTCCAATTAATCATTTCGAAACTTACATAATGGGTCTAACAGTCGCACTTACTATACCTATTACTTATTTTTTACTATTATATTATTTTCCTTCCTGGGCTCCAGTCAATGTGTGAAACAAAAATGTGTATATCGTTTATTACATAACGTTTCGGCTAGACAACAGCGCCATCATCAGATTTAAAATTCATACAAACTCATAATTGGTAAACATTACATTCTTTTGGGTATTTGCTGTCTTGACACCTTAAATTTGTTTGAATTTTATTTAAACAAAAAAAAATCAAATTAATTTTACTAATTCAAACAAATTTAAGGTTTCAAGACAGCAAAGACCTAAAAGAATGTAATGTTTACCAATTATGAGTTTGTATGAATTTTAAATCTGATGATGGCGCTGTGCTCTCGCCGAAACGTTATGAAATAAACGATATACAAATTTTGGTTTCACACTTTGACTGGAGCCCAGGAAGGAAAATAATACGCAGTCAGAAAAATACATTTTTTTTAATGTCTGCACTAGTTATTACTTTCGGGATATTTCTCTTCGGGCAAACATAATAACATTTTCCACATAATTTAGATTTTGAGAACGCGGATATATTAGTTATAGAAACAAATTATGATAAAAGAAGAATCCAAGGAATGATACAAATAAAAAAGACATGCAAAAGCAAATATTAAAACTATTTCCGCTTATATCAATACATACATACCGTTCTCGCAAAGGTAGACAATAATTCAAACAAATATGAAGTTTTGAAGACAGCCAAGCCTATAAAGAATCCAATGTTTCCTGATTATGGGATAAGTTTTTCAAATGTTTTGCTCTCCCAAAGAATCGTTTTTCCTTAAGAACTAATGGATGTTTTAATGCTTTGTAAATTATAGTTTTTCTGCACCAGATTTTAATTGTAAATTGGTGTTTGTAGTTTGTTTTGAATTTTAATCTGATGACGGGGCTGTTGACTCGCTGAAACGAAATATGAAATAAACGATATGAACATTTGTGTTTCACATTTTGACTAAAACTCACGAAAGAAAAAAATATGATAACAATTAAAAAAATAACAACAGTCAGAAAAATAAATCAAAATGTTTCCAGTAGTAATTCAGGAAAAATGAGCAACTCCGATCGGACAAATTATCGGATCATCGGATTACAATTGTATTTAATTAGACTTTCTCAGAATCTCAAACTGTACCAAAACCGCGAGCATACAGTGTTTTATAATGACGTAAAGTTTTTCAGGGTATCTTCAGAAGGTAACTTTAAAAGGAGTTTTTCAACAAAGTTTTTGATTCGGGCGCACCCGACGGAAACAAAGAATCTTTGAAATTATATTTTCTTTAAATATAAAAAACCGTAATTTTCGAAAATTGTATTTTGGTAAATTAAGCGCCTTAACCTAATGAATCCCTAAGAAGGATGTCGCGGCCGGTCAAAATATTGTTGAAAAGATTCTCCGATGGCTGGTTCTCCAACGGCTGTAACCAAGATTAGAAAATTTTCTTTGGTTTCTGCTCAATTTTTTTAGAAAGAGTTTATTAGAAAGACCCCCTTTAAAATTACCTTCCAAGCACACTGTAAAATTATTTGCTGAGCATTATCAAACATCCGTACTATAAAATTAATTTCTGATCTTGTGCTTAATTGTTTTTTATTTTAGCCGTGTAAAACATTACTTGCTCGTCGATAGCGCCTTCATTTTATTTTTGCCAAATTCACAAATTTAAGTGGAAAGTCATGAAAATTACACAAAACGTATAATTTGTGCCTACTTGATTACTATCCGAGTCAAGAAACTTGTACATACTTGTAAAGCGATGAAAACTTTAAATCAAGAAATTATGAAATTGTTGAATATTTTTTTGACAACACACACTATATCCGTAAGATAACAATACGGTCGCCAATACTGTCTGATGATAAAAAAAAGCAAAAAATCTATTAATAATGACGCTAAAATAATCCTCAAGCTAACATCTTCTAACATGATTCCATTCAGTTTCCACTTCATTTTTCGGAGCATTGAGCTAAAATCAAAGACAGCTACTGAAGTAAGCTTCTTCCTGCCTCAAATCGTTCTCTTTAAATAGAAAACCGTTTCCAGATATAAAAACCAAACAAATAAAACTAGACCAACATGGATCCACAAAGCCCACCGTCGACGATTATCCGACATAAGTCAAAACAACGGAATGAAAGTGGCAGGTCGGCTAAAGATGCTCCCTCAGGAATCCTGCGATTGGACGCGGGTAAACCGAGAAGGCTTCCTACTGAATTTAAATTCAATCAGGTACGGTATAACCGGCAATAATATTACCTTTTATGATACGGGGGATCACGTTATTAGAAACTTCTTTTACGAAGGCGAAAAATAACGTGGATTTATTACTAGCTTTATCAGATGAGCAAGCATTAATGTTAAGTAGGAAATACTAGCAATTGCTAGCAACGATTGGGAGAATCTCAAAAAATCTACAGTGAGAATGTACTCCTGTAATGTATTTCAGTTCAAACTCAAAGCTACTTTGAAAGTTACGCTGGCGTTACTTTAATATTTGCCTTTCAACTAACTTGTTAGGATTTTAGACTGAATTGCTTCTATGACCAAATCTGTAGAGTATAACGTGCTTTATCTGGAATTAACTTGAATCTTTATTAAAATTGATAATTTCAAATTAATTCTAAAAGTGCGTCTGAAGTCGAAGGATAAGGGCTTTGGATTACAACAATCAGGGGCGGATCCAG